AATCCCAGCACTTTGGGAAGCCAAGGTAGGAGGATCACTTGAGCTCAGGAGTTTGAGACTAGCCTGGGCAACATGGCAAAACCCCATCTCTACAAAATATACAAAAAGTATCCAGGTGTGGTGACATGTGCCTGTAGTCCCAGCTACTTGGGAGGCAGAGGTAGGAGGATGGCTTGAGCCCAGGAGGCAGAGGCTGCAGTGAGCCAAGATCGTGCCAGAGTGCTCCAGCCTGAGCAACAGAGCCAGACCCTGTCTAAAAAAAAAAAAGAGAGAGAGAACAACAGCACCAGATTTGGTGTGGAATTGTCAATATCACCTACATTAGTACTGAGAACACCCCCAAGTAGTCACATCAATTCAAACCAGCTTTCCACAATATACTTCCCTCATTCCCAGTAAAGGAGGATATCAAAAGAGGATGTCAAAAGCTAAAGGAAAAGGTATACTTTCTTTCTTTGCTCCATTAGCTGTAATTATACCACATTATACTTACTTTTAGGTCAGGACGCTCCTTCATTTTCTTGGGCTTCTTCTCAGGAGGACCCTTAAGCTTCTCCTTTTCCTGGTTCCGCTTAAGCCGCCTCAGTTGCTCTTGAATCCTCCGCCGTTCTTTTCGCATCTCTTCCCGATGTTGTTCATCAAAAAGGGCAAATTTTCGACTGAACAATGTGGGCAGCAGAGGAAGGACCATAAGCAAACCTTAACCAAAAAGGCTATCGTAATAGCTAACATCTCAGGACTACAGTAATCCATTCAGGTTAATATAAAAGGGGCTACATGCCATTCCCATCTCCCTCCCTAGTCGGCCCTCCATTTGCAGAGGTAACTCTCTTAGAATAAGTCCTGAGTAATCTCTAAGATTTTTTTTTTTGAGACGGAGTCTCCGTCTGTCGCCCAGGCTGGAGTGCAGTGGCAAGATCTTGGCTCACTGCAACCTTGACCCCTTGGACTCATGCGATCCTTCCAGCTCAGCCTCCTGAATAGCTGGGACTACAGGTGTGTACCACCACACCCAGCTAAATTTTTATAGAGACGGGGTCTTGTCATGTTGC